CACAAGGTTGGGGGAGAGAGAGGGGGATCTACCTGCTTGTTGATCTCAACGCCGAGGGCGCGCTTTGTGACGTTCCAAACCCTTCCAGTGCGGCCATGGTAGAACTTGTGCGGCATGCCCTTGTGGACAGCGCCGTTCACCTTAACGTCGACGAAGTCTCCGATCTTGTATGTCCTCAGATAGGTCGTCAGAGGAATGTAGCCCTTCTTCCTGAACGGTCTCGCGAAGAGGTCCCTCGTCCGCGACCGCACACCATGTCCCGCCGGCATCTTTTCGCCCCGAACTCGCCCTTCTCTCCCGCTACGATCTGGATGGAGACACTCCCTTTTAGGGTTTCTCACCAGGTTATACAGCCCGCGGTGGGTTTAGAAGGGCCACGAACGGCCCACACTTTCCTGACTTACAGGCCCGACAAGACGGACAGTGTAGATCGATGACCCAAAACCCTTGATCGGTCGATAATGTTGTCGCTCCCCGGAGCGAGAAGAAGTGATGCTGCTGGAGGGTAGCTGATGGTGTGGTTTCCTCCCACCGGGAAGCAGCTCGCCGTGACCGCCGGCTGGTTCCTGACCGGGCTGACCCTCTTCGGCGTCGGCGCCCACCTTTCCTACGTTAACATCGCCCCGCAGCAGGCCCGGACGAAAGCCCGCAGCGATTTTGTCCGGGAATACCTCAGGAAGAAGTACGGCTACGAAGGTGGCCGCAAGTAACGGCTGCCATAGCGACAGAGGAGGTCATCTCAGCATCAGATCTTGCGACTCCAGTCGTTCCTTATCCCTCTCTCCCCATCCTTTTTTTCTCCCCAAATACATAAAATATCTGTCCACTTGCCCTCCGCCTCCCTGCTGGTAATGTCTTTGGTACCTTCCACGGGGATCGACAGCACACTAATGTCGGAAGTCGACATGGGCGGTGCCTCCGATTCGTCTACCACCATGGTGCGGGCTACGGTGGTGCAGGCTTCCACAGTCTTCTACGATACTCCGGCCACAATTGGTAACTATGCATCCATCTGTCTTCCTTTGGTCGCTATGAACGGTTTGGGCTTTCAGCTGTTTTGATTCCTACGGCTTTTCCACTTGTTTTACCTCCCCGATCTCGTTGCTATTGCTGTGTTTTGGTGCGAAACTCTGAGTGTGCTGCTCAAGCTCTGGGATACCTATAACTTGGTTGACGTTGTCGACAAGGCGGAGATCTGTGGATGTGTGTTGGGTGGGAATTTTCTTTCATCACGGTATCCTCGAAGTGAGACCACATAGGCCGCCAATTGGTGGAGGTTCTTCGTGTTCACACATCATCGGGTCCTTCTTTTGCGGCGAGTGATGGTTTCGAGACCATAGTTTAATGCCCGCATGATAAATTTCTCAACAAGGGAAAGAGGCATCTTGATGACTTTCACCACACTACCCATTCTGAAATTCCAATACTATGAGTTTTCTCTATACATGTCGTTTCCAAGCATTCATGGAGGGGCATTATTCAGTAATAAATAACATTAGGCTCCTCGTTTTTCTTCAATCATTGAATGAAAAATTTGGTGGAGACAGTAGCATCATTGAAGCACATGCAGATTGAGATCGTAGAAACATGAGCTCGTGATGTTCTGCTGCTTGTTTTCTGTGGACTATTAACCTCAGCCCTCAAATAGACACGTTGAACAAGAAACTTTTGTGGGCATTAATAATAAAAGTAGAAAATAAAAGTACTGATGTGAAGTTCATGGCATGCAAATGGGCATGTGCTTGTTACAGAGAAAGGGGGGGGCTTTGTTTCCCTTGATTCCATTTTCTTGGTTACTCATGCATCACAATGCCTAAGCTAAGTTTTTATTAAAAAAATGGAGGCTCACCCCGATGGTAGGGTGAAGAAAGACAAGAAAGCTCACAAATAAAAAAGCACAGTTGTTCTTCTTTCTCCCATTTTGAGTTGCATTTCAGTTTTTCTTTTTTGCTTCTGATTTCAGGCTCTTCAAGTTTATGTCACTTCCAAAGCCAAACTCTTTTTCTTTCCCCATTCTCTTAGGGAGCCAGAATTTTGCTGCAAGTTAAAGCGCAGCAAGTTATTTATTTATCTATCTATCTGATATTTTTTCTATGTGTCTTTCCCAGATAAAGCAGAGAGATTAATTGCAGAAGCTGCTGGATATGGATCACAGTTAGTGGTGTTTCCCGAAGCATTTATTGGCGGTTATCCCCGTGGGTCAACATTTGGCGTCATTATAGGCAGCCGTTCAGAGAAAGGAAAGGAAGAATTCCGTAAATATCATGCCTCTGCAATTGATGTTCCTGGTGCGGAACCTTTTATGCCCGTTTTTCTTGCAACTCTTTCATAGAGAGTTAGCCTTCATTATCCCCATCAAACGGGAATCTGATGCACGTTATATGCACCCATCATTCGTCTCATTATCTTGTGTGTGCTGATTCTCTGTTGACATCGCTGATACTCTTTCTAGGCATGAACCATGGATATAACAACCTATTTCAATTGATCATTTTGGTTATTTCCTTATTTTTGTGTGAAGAACCCAGCATGGTCCGGACTGGTCTAGTTTTTTTTTTTTTTCCTTCCATTTATTGTTATGATTCATTTTCCTCTGACAGGGTCCGAGGTCGATCGTCTGGCTGCAATGGCTGGAAAATATAGAGTATTCCTGGTCATGGGTGTGATAGAAAGATCGGGGTACACTCTCTACTGCACCGTCCTTTTTTTCGACCCTCAGGGCCGTTACCTGGGGAAGCATCGTAAGCTCATGCCCACTGCCTTGGAGCGTATAATATGGGGCTTTGGGGATGGATCCACCATCCCAGTCTATGAAACCCCAATTGGGAAGATAGGCGCTCTTATCTGCTGGGAGAATCGAATGCCTCTGTTAAGAACAGCATTATATGGCAAAGGTAAGCTGATAATACCATGGTTCTCACGGATTTTTACTCTTGATAAGATTCATGTTCACATTCCTGCACTTAAGTCTATGTTTTTTAGCTATCCTTTCCTAACATGGCATCGACATCCTGGTGTTCTTCAGGAATCGAAATATATTGTGCTCCAACAGCAGATGCCCGAGAAGTGTGGCAGGCGTCCATGACCCACATCGCCGTGGAGGGAGGATGCTTTGTTCTGTCGGCTAATCAGTTCTGCCGCAGGAGAGACTACCCGCCAGCACCGGATTATGTGTTTGGAGTGTCGGATCATGAGCTCTCACCCGATTCTGTTGTGTGTTCCGGAGGAAGTGTGATCATCTCACCCTCAGGAACCATCTTGGCAGGACCGAATCATGATGGGGAGGGTCTCATCTCAGCCGACCTAGGTACAAAGAACCCTATTTTCTTTTTCTGTACCTGTGTGATTTTTCAAAAATTATTGACTTTCGGATCCGGATTTCCCACCTTAGTAATCTTCTCCGGGATTCAATTGGTTGAGGTCCTGGTTCCTGATCTTAAACTGTTCATCCGAAAGAAACTTTTTTTTTGGATTGAGCTGGGGTAAAATTTCATGGATACAGATATCTGATTGCCTTTCTTCATCTGTAGATCTCGGAGAAATTGTTAGGGCCAAGTTTGACTTCGATGTGGTGGGACACTACTCGAGACCTGATGTGCTGAGCCTGGTGGTGAAGGATCATCCACTGAACCCTGTTTCGTTCGAATCCTCCATGGAGACTCTCAAGTTCTCATAGCTTTTCAGATTATCGTCAAAAGGAAAATGAGCCTGTGAGGTGATGTATTTCCTTAGTGGATCTTGCTCATTAACAAGGTGTACTGATGAGTCTCGGACAGCATCTGGCAAATGAGTTGTAAATTATGTGTATTTTCTTCACGCGATGTGCTAATAATAGTCATCTGACATCAAATAATTAGGTCATATCTTGAAACTTAAGGTGGAAGTCCACTTGGGGTTTGACTTCTATGGATCTGATGGTTAAAGGATAGATTCGTTTATATATATATAAGATCTGAGAAACTGGATCAAGCAGTTTACTTGGAAAACTGATGGTATGATTTGTTAGGCTCAATTCACGCAGTCTAGAATTTTTTTTTTCCTTTTCGGGGTTGCTAGTTTCTTTGTCATTATTATCAGTACTGGTCGTAGAAATGATTTAGGGCAAACACTCCCTTCGGTGTGTGAGTCAGACGAGTCGGATGGTGAGTAATTGTACATAATAGGACCAGGTCTTCGTACCGTGTTTCCTCCATAAAAGAGTCAAAAGGGGAATTCTGGGGGAGCAGTTCTCTCCGATTGCATATTCCTTCTCTGGTTTTGGTTTCTTCTAAGGCAGGATAAGACTCAGCGTGGCGCCACCCCCACCTAGCGCTATCTTTGTGGACGGGGAGATCGCATCGTATGCCTAGCCATCATGAGAAAGAATGGCACCTTCATCTCATCAGACCATGCCATCGAAGATGGCGCCGGAAGGGCACACGCGTTTCTCCACCTTCTCCATTTGAATACCCTGTGAAATCTGGATGTAAGTTTCCATTCACATGTATAAGCTCGTATTCGTGTCTGTTCTCGCATTGCATTTCTTTGTATCTCTCGGATTTTCTGTGTATAAATCTACACCCACATGTGACAACCCATGGACTGAAGAGAGGAAGAAGAAATTCTCATAGGCCACCCCGGTTTTTCCTATTTGACTTTGGACCCTCCTTCATGGGTAGCCACCATTACGGGAAGTTTCAGGGCACCATTTTCCATCATTAGCGTGAATCTAGCTCCACAGCCATAAAGCTGTTCATCTTCCGACGCATACTGTTAATCAGAGACATCTTCTGCACATCCTTCAACCTATAGTGATGTGCATTTTCCGACGGTTTGTCATCATTTCCTTGTCTCTGATGATAGTTTTAAGACAGGAAATTGATGGGGAACACAATGTAATGTCTGCAGTGAAAGAAAACAATGCCCGGCAGCCCAAGTAAGTCCTAATACTGGCTGCGAGGTAGCTCTTTGTTTGCCAAGAAGTATTTGATCAGCAGCTCAGCTTGCTTTGGAACAAAAGTTGGAACTTGATGCCCTGCACCACGAACTGTGACGAATGTGAGGCCGTCATAGATGACAGTCCACCCGCCAACCTGTATCGTCATAGGAACGATGATTATCACTGAAGTATTCACAAGGATTGAACGTTTATGAGAGAGAGGGGAAGGATAGGAGGAGCAGGGAATCACTCTTCACCTGGTTCCGGAAGTACCAGGGGGTCCACGGTTGAATGGTTTTTAGGCCTAGCTTCCTCATTGTGTACCTTGTGCCAGTAACTGGTACTCTTCCATCAGTATCCCCACTATAAAGATGCAAGCAACTAGTCAGAGTCAGAGTTAAACCAGGTATTCTTAGATATTATGATACTCAGGCGCCTTCAAGCGATATATTGAATTACCAAAAGAAGAAATCTGGAAGGAAAAATTTGTTCATGTGTGTATCAAGGCCTATCAATCAAGCCTAATATCTTCACTTGCACTGATACAGTGTTACCCTGATGTAGCTCCAATCTATGGAACACTACTCCGGGATAACCTTCCCTACATGAGCATAATTCTATGGAATATGTTCATCAGCATGGTGATATTGTGCCCCAGAAAACAAGTGCTTCCAGGGTTCCTTTGATGTGCTCTTTTTTCCTTTTTTTTGAACTGTAGGGGTGTTGAATCGAAGGTTGAGCCAACTCGACGGGCAGCTTTTATTGATAAACAGTGATGATTATCTCAATTCTTTGTTGGTATGATTTGAAGTAAAAAAATCATATGGCCATACCTGAAAACCCAAATCCTGAGGCCTCCTTTAATCAATTTCCTCAATATCGGAAGGATGGAGACTTCCGAGTCGTTCCACTTCGTAATGATATCGCTGTTGAGGATTCAGGGCAGCAGCAGATTAGCAAGGCTCTTGTGAATTCACAATGTTGCCCGGCGCGAGAAAAAAAAAGGAAAGAAATGAAGGAATTTAGTGATAACCACACAAAAAATTGGGCTCATTCTTATCTTAGTGATGATCTTCATGAATTATTTTTTTATCAAAAAAAAAAAGTGAAAGGTTGATCATTCACCTGCAATGAGTCCAATTGAAAGGGATGTTCGTGGTATTGGCGTGTAGAGCTTCTTGTACATCTTTGCGATTGTAATAAATCTCTGTGTAATATGATATGCAAGGATCGTAGCCCGATGGGTTCCTGAGCCATGCACCCTGTTGAATAGACGAGCCCAGTCAATTCTGCTCTTTTAAAAAAAGTACTGATTTTGACTATTTCAGGAACAAAAAAAAAGTCCCCTAAAAATCTGGAGAATGCCTTGGGTGCTGTGCCCTTGATCCCTCTCAGCTGCCTGGGACTGGTGACTGTGCCATTAAAGCATCTGGGCGTGTACAAGCTGTACATGTCTATGATCCTGTAGACCTCGAAGTACTCCTCCAGCGCAACATTGCAGTCTCTGGTGGTCAGCTTGCTGAAGTCGCAGGTTTTTTGTATCTTGTGGTACAGCTCATCTGATATAACAGCATGGTCCCAGGCATAGTCAATCAAGCCCTTCTGGTCCGTCTCATCGTCCAGCACTGAATTCCCAATCTGATCCGTGAAGAACATGCTCAGTAGAATCGAAGTCAACGGTGATTGGGTGAGCGGAAGATCTGCACTTACAATGAAACCCTTCAGATTTATGTAGTCCTCCTCTGGTACTATCTTATTCTGGTCGAAGATCTTCTCTGCCAGCTGCGGAACATAATGGCCTGAGAATAATCGCAAAGTCACCCAGGATTAGTACTATTTTTGTCCTAAATCCTCTTCTTTTGTGAGGGGCTTGGGCTCTCCTACCTGCGTAGCTCTCTCCCGAGATGTAGAAGTCGTGGGACTTGTACTGGGGGAATCGTTTGAACCAATTCGCCAGAAACGTGTAGGAATTGCTCGCTGATCAGAGAAACATGAGAAAGTTTGTGATCCGTGGCCATTAATCTGGTTGTGATCTATGGGTTGGGGAAGAACAGTGACAGATGCTCAGGAGAGGAACTTACCGGTGACTTTGTCTCCGAGTTCATTGTAATCTGAGGTGGTGTTTGAGTAGGAGAACCCGACCCCCACTGGCGACTCCAAGAACAGAAGGTTCGCCGCTGAAGAAATATTACACCATAGTGGGATTAATCTTCTTATGGTATAAAGAATTGACTTTTATTCGCTGTTAGCGGTGAAGAAAGATCGTGAGTTTATTTCAGTGATTCAACATTCGCAGGCTCCTATCAAGGTTTTATCGTCTCATTGATCGGCCGGCTAGACCCTCTACCATTTGCCGAACGCTGCTTTCGCAGGAGTAATGCTCCCCCGTGCCCACTTCAGTTGTCTTTGTCTCTGTCTCTCTCTCCCCCTCCCGCTCTCCCACTCTCTCTCTCTCTCCCACTCTCTCTCTCTCCCTCCCTCTCTCGCTATCCCTCTCGCTCTCTCTCGTTCTTTCTCTCTCTCTCGCTCTCTCTCTCTCTCTCTCCCTCTCTCTTTCTCTCTTTCTCTCCCTCTCTCTCTCTCACTCCTTCCCTCTCTCTTTTCGCTATCGCTCTCTCTTTCTCTCCCTCCCGCGCTCTCTCTCTCTCTCTCTCTCTCTCTCTCTCTCTCTCTCTCTCTCTCTCTCTCCCTCTCTCTCTCTCGCTCTCTCTCTCTTTCCCTCCGTCCCGCTCTCTCCCTCTCTCTCTCTTCTCTCTCTCTTCTCTCTCTCGCCCTCTCTCTCTCTCTTCTCTCTCTCTCCCTCTCTCTCTCTCCCTCTCTCCCCTCTCCCTCTCTCTCTCTCCCCATCTCTCTCTCGCTCTCTCTCTCTCTCTCTCTCTCTCCTCCTCCCTCCCTCCCTCTCTTTCTCTGTCGCCTCTACCTCTCTCTCTCTCTCTCTATCTCTCTCTCTCTCTCTCTCCCCACTTCTATCTTTCTCGTTCTCGTTCTAAGAGGGGTTGGGCTTGTTACCTTTGTTCCAGGAGTTGGGGTTGAGCTTGATCTCCGGCACCCCGGCCTGCGTCAGGAAAGGGCCGAGCTCCTCCGACTGCCCGTACCCGATGGACGAGCAACCCGGACCTGCACCTCAGAGAAGAACACATTAAATGATTCCGCCTCTCTCTCTCTCTATCGCTAAGTTCAATTCTTCGACCTTCAACTAAGGCGATGACCCCCCTACGGATCTCAAAGTTGAGAGGGGGGAAGAAATCTGTGAGATCTGGAGATGGGGATGAGACTAGATTTGGTCTGCATGCGACGGCCGACTGTCAATGGCACTCGCGAGCTGCCACGTACCCTGGGGGCTGGTCCGATGACGGCGGATCTTGAGGGAGACGAAACCCCCCGTGCTGACCGCGGGTTAACCGGCGAGGTTGTCCTCATCTGTGAGGGAGCATGGGATGCATAGACCTCCTTCCATGTGCCGACGCGGCTACTCCATGCCAGCCAACCCCACAGCTGGCTGAAGTCCACAGGTCACCATGTTTCTCTCTCTCTCTCTCTCTCTCTAGTCCGCGCCTATCCGCATAAGGCTTCATCGAAGAGGGAGAACTTCATCAATTTGAGAAGCGGGTGAGACTATGGTAATGGTCAATTGCCAACCCTTGGTTTGCTCTACCCAGCTCGGCTCCTCCGATGAAGTCAAACTGGAGCTCCTCTACGCAAAGATTACACCAACACTGAAGCGAGGCCGTCGGAGCAGCAGTGAGGAGCTCCCTCTCTCTCTCTCTCTCTCTCTCTCCGCCGCAGAAAGGGGCGTCGGACCAGCCGAGGGAGGTTCAGCCTGATCTCTGAGCGTGAATACGCGACGAGATACGCCGACAACGTGGAGTCGACCGCTTCCGATCCGAGTCAACGATCTAGTGGGAGAGATATTTGACTCGATGAGCAGGAATCTCCTAAGGATAGGAGAGTCTTTATCGTGTCGTGAAGGGATGATTTAATCCAGGACACGAGGCTGGTCGGGCAGCGTTAGCTCGAGGGTAGCTTTCCCCGGTTGAACCGGATGAGGAAACTGGAGAGAGAAAGTGGGAGCGGGAATTCATCAGAGAGAGAGAGAGAGGAATCGGGGGGTTCCTCGTACCTCCATTGAGCCACAGGAGGAGCGGCTTCTGCTGTGGCTTCTCGGTGGCCTCGAAGAACCAATAGAACAGTGCCCTCCCGCGGTTCTCGTCCACGGTCACGTAGCCGGCGTAGTGCCGGAACCTTACCGGCGGCTGCCCTGGCAGATTCACAACTCGGTCGGCCTCCTGCCGGAGACGAACGTCGTCGGGCACCGCCGCTCCGGCCGCGAACAGAACCAGAGAAAACGCGGCACAGTGAAGGAGGAAGGAGGCGGCGGCGATGGGAGACCCCATGGAGGGAGAGGGGGAGAAAGAGAGAGCGAGTGGTGGAAGTAGGGAGGAAGGGTGGGTCTGAGGCCTCCCCGGCACTCGGGAAACAGATATATTATCTTCTCTCTCTCTCTCTCTCTCTCTCTCTCTCTCTCTCTCTCTCTCTCTCTCTCTCTCCCTCTCTCTCTCATTCTTTCATCTCTGATGGGGGCAGGCTTGATGTGATGACAGGAGGGCGGCGTCTCATGTTTCTCGTCGCCTGCATGTGGCCGAAGCCGAACGTCAAGATTCGTCCGTCGTTGTTGTTCGAGATTAAATTTACCTCCATGCCGTCTCATGGCGATTACGCCGTAGTCAACCCCTCTTTTTAGACCCATCTGGAATATTTTAACGAGGAAGTTAGCCGCCTCATACCGCATTCGTAAGATCGCGGGCTTTAGTGGGCCCACCAAGGTAAAGCCTGACCGGGCTCCGGCGAAAAGCCCAGGGATCGCCTCCCTGGCTGGCCCTTTGAAGCGCGTCTCGCGCTCTGTCTGTCTCTCTCTCTCTCTCTCTCTCTCTCTCTCTCTCTCTCTCTCTCTCCCTCCTCTCTCCCACACAGACACACACGCACGCACAGACGGGCGGCCCGGGCCGGATAGCTAGGAACATCTACCTAATGCTCATAGATAATGCGACTCCCAACTGGCATTGTTGCCGAAGGTAGAAGAAT